ATGCTTATACTTGGACAACAGGGCCAAATATAAGAAACTACAAGAAAAAATGAGTAATACAGAGATAATAATGGTAAATTGATGAGATATCGTATAGAAAAGGTGAAATAAATTTCTCCAAGTCAGTTGTTAGTGTAGAAAAGGTATGTAAGATCCAGGAAATCCTGAATTACAGTATAGAGCATATAAAACAGTGTATGAATCCTATATAATTTACTTAAAGGAGAATTGAACTGTAAATGTGTGTCATACAAGGCAGAATATCCTTGAAATAGAGAAATAAGCACATTTAAGCAGCTTTGGAAAGCCTTAGACTTCAGTGTAATGTAGCATTAAACTCTATAACATAGTTGAGAGACAATATTTCAGAGCTTCTCAGGTTCATAACCGTGTGTAGGAAGTTGTTTGTCCATGTTCCCAAAGCTTATTCTTGGACAAGAAGGCCTAATATTGGAAACTACAATACAAGAAAACATCAGTAATGCAGAGTAAATAACAGTAAATGGATGAAAACAAGCATCGAACATGTAGAACACACTTGCACAAGTCAGTTGTTAGGGTAGAAAAAGTATCGAAGATCCAGGAAACCCTTAATTACAGTAAAGAGCACATTAAACTTTGTATGAAACCTATATTATTTACTTAAAGGAGTCTAGAACTCTAAATGTGTGTCAAACAAGGCAGAATATTTTTTGAAATAGAGAAATAAGCACATTTCAGCAGCTTTGGAAAGCCTTAGACTTCACTGCAATGTAGCATGAAACTCTATAACACAGTTGAGGGACAATGTTCCCGAGCTTCAGAGGTTCATAACATTGTGTAGGAATTTGTTTGTCCATGTGGGCAATGCTTATACTTGGACAAGAAGTTCTAATATAGGAAACTAGATGAAAACATGAGTAATTCAGAGAAAATGACAGTAAATTGATGAGAACTCACATAAAACAGGTAAAACAGATATCTCCAAGTCAGTTGTTAGAGTAGAAAAGGTATCTAATAACCAGGAAATCTTTAATTAAACTTAAGAGCACATTAAACATTGTATGAAGCCTCCATTATTGACTTAAACGAGTCTAGAACTTTAAATGTGTGTTGTACAATACTTGAAAGAGAGAAATAAGCACAATTAATCAGCTTTGGAAAGCCTTAGACTTCACTGCGATGTAGCATTAAACTCTATAACATAGTTGAGAGACAATGTTCCCAAGCTTCATAACAGTGTGTAGGAAGTTGTTTGTCCATTTGGGCAATGCTTATACTTGGACAAGAAGGCCTAATATAGGAAACTACAAGAAAACATGAGTAATACAGAGAAAATATCAGTAAATAAATGAGAACTGGTATAGATCAGGTGAAACAGATTTCTCCAAGTTATTTGTTAGAGTAGAAAAGGTATTTAAGATAAAGAAAATCATTAATTAGAGTAAAGAGCACATTAAACAGTGTATGAAACCCTGTGAATGTGGACCAGGTTCGCAAGTGGCTGCAAAAGCCCCACCTGCCTGAGCTCCAGACTTAAAGCCAGCAAGAGATTCCCTTGTCCTCAAGGCAGGGCGTTCCCTGCGAATGGGACAGAAAGCTGGCCCTCAGGGCCCGGTGACCACACCAGTAAGTACATCTGCAGGGGCCAAGGCAGAGCCCCCAGAGTGGAAAGCGATTTTCTCCGACTTGACACAGCTCTCTCCCATATGTAAAGGCTAACCCTAACCCTAAACATAAACCTCACCCTAACCCTAACCCTAAGCAGTGGCTAAGGATGTGGGGCCCTGTGAATGTGGATGAGGGTCACAAGTGGCTGCAAAAGCCCCACCTTCCTGAGCTTGAGACTGGAAGCCAGCAAGTGGTTCCTTTGTCCTCAGGGCAGGGCGTTCACCGGGAATGGGGCAGAAAACTGGCCCTCAGGGCACGGCGACCCGTCTAGTAAGTACCTCTGGAGGGGCCGGGGCAGTGCCCCAGAATGGAAAGTGATTTTCTCGAACTTGACAGAACTCTTTCCCAATGTCAAAGCCCATAGGCAGGGATGTGGGCGTCCCAGGACATTCCATTGTGAGCTGCCCCTTGGTGGGAGCCATGGGGGTTCGGTCCCTTTCCTGAGGCTCATGGAGGCCCATGGCTGTCTTGAAGAGAGGGCTAGCTGTTCTGCCCTCGCTTGGGGACCTGGGAGACACCCTATGAGCAGAGGGCCTTTGGTGGTTTCAGGCACCTGACACAGCTCCCAGAGTTGGGGGCTATTCCCCTGTGTTTGAGGAGCAGGGCAGCCTGGCAGGTGCTGCTCGCTCATTGGTCGAATGAACAAGGGGGTGGGGCTTGTGGATCAAGGAGGCGGCCGAGGCCCACAGCTGCACCCAGTCAAGTCAAAGAGGGGACGGGGCCAGTTGACAGCTGGAGGTGTTCACTAGAACATGGGGGCGGGTCCAGGTGAACAGCCTGAAGTGGTGAGTTAAGCAGGAGAAAGGCTGGTGGCAGGGACACAGGTGACCGGCAGGCCGGCCTGTGGGCAGCAGGGACCTAAAGAGGGGGTTGGGGGGCTTGGCAGGAAGGTTAGATGATCGGCGGGAAGTGGTCAAGGGAAGAGTGCTTTGGGGTCAGGGGCCATAACTGGAAGTTGTCCAGTGGGTAAGGCCCTGGGGCCCTGTGAATGTGGACGAGGTTCGCAACTGGTGGCAAAAGCCCCACCTTCCTGAGCTCCAGACTGGAAGCCAGCAAGAGGTTTCCTTGTCCTCAGGGCAGGCCATTCCCTGGGAATGGGGCAGAAAGCCGGCCCTGAGGGCCTGGCGATCAGATCAGTGGAGGGGCCCCCAGAGTGGAAAGTGATTTTCTCCCACTTGGCACAGCTCTCTCCCCGATATCAAAGCCCATAGACAAGGCTGTGTGCGTCCCAGGACACTCTGTTGTAAGCTGCCCCTTGGTGGAGGTGATGTGGGCGGGCCCCCCCCCCCCCCAAGGCTCATGGAGGCCCCTGGCTGTTCTGAATGGGGGGTTTGCTGGTCTGCACACGCTTGGGGACCTGGGCGGCACCCTGTGAGCAGAGGGCCATCTGTGGTTGAGGGTTTTAGGCACCTGAAACCGCTCCCAGAGGTGGGGGCTATTCCCCTGTGTTTGAGGAGCAGGGCAGCCTGGCCTTTGCTACTCACTCATTGGTTGAATTAATAAGGGGGCGGGGCTTCTGGAACAAGTTGGCGGACCCAGGCCTACAGCTGAATCAGATCAAGTCAACAAGGGGGCGGGGCCAGGTGAGCAGCTGGAGGCGGTCATGAGAACAAGGGGGCGTGTTCAGGTGAACAGCCTGAAGTGGTGAGGTAAGCAGGAGAGAGTCTGGTGGACAGGGACATGGGGAAAGGCCTGCTGGTTGTCAGGCTGGCCACTGGGCAGCAGGGACCTAAAAAAGGGAGCTGGGTATTTTGCAAGTCAGGGTAGGTGATCAGCCAGAATAGGCCAAGCCAAGAATGAGTTGGGACCAGGGGCAACACCTGGAAGTGGTACAGTGGATAAGGCCATGGGGCCCTCTGAATCAGGACGGGGGTCCCGAGTGGCCGCAAATGATCTACCTTCCCGTGATCCAGACTGGATGCCAGCAAGAAGGTTCCTTGTCCTCAAGGAAGGGTGTTCCCCATGAATGGGGCAGAAAGCCATCCCTCAGGGTTCAGCTACCAGTAAGTATCTCTGGAGGGGGCGGGGCAGTGCTCCTGGAGTGGAAAGTGATTTTCCGGGACTTGACAGCTTTCTCCCTGATGTCAAAGCCTGTACACTGGACTGTGAGGGTCACAGGACACTCTGTTGTGAGATGACCCGTGGTGGGGTTGATGGGGGTCCCCTGGGCTCATGGAGGCCCATGGCTGTCCGAAAGGGGGATTAGTCTGCCCATGCTTGTGGACCTGGTCCCTGGTTGGGAGGCAACCTGTGATTGGAAGGCCATCTGGAGTTGGGGCTTTAGGCACCTAAGACCACTTCCAGAGGTGGAGCGGTAGGCCCCCATGTGTGAGGAACAGGCTAGCCTGGCCAGTGCTGCTTGCTCATTGGTCCAATGAACGAGGGGGCGGGGTTTCTGGTACAATGGGGCGGGGCCAGGCCTAGAGCTGAAGGCGGTCAAGTCAGCGAGGGGGTGAGGCCATGTGAACAGCTAAAGGAGGTCATGACAACAAGGGGGTGGGGCCAGGTGAAGAGCTGGAAATGGTGAGGTAAGCAGGAGAAAGGCTGATGGGCAGGGACACGGGTGAAAGCCCGGCTGCCATCCAGCCGGCCACCCTTCAACAGCGACTTAAACAAGGGAGTTGTAGGGTTTGGGAGGCAGGCTAGTTCATCAGCCAGAAGAGGCCAAGCAAGAATGGGTTGGGGCCAGGGACAACACCTGGACGTGTTCGAGTAGATAAGGCCACTGGGCCCTGTGAATAAGGATGGGGTGCCAAGTGGCCACAAAAGTCCCACCTCCCTGTGGTCCAGACTGGATGCCAGCAAGAACGTCCCTTGAGCATGGAGGTTGCTGCAGCCTCTCCATAGTGGAAGGAGTCAGAACCTCCAGACTACAGAGATCCAACCCAATTCCAGGGTGAGCCCCTCGGTCACCCACACTCTTGCACCAGAAATCTGAGAGGGTCAGTCGGAAACTCAGGGGAGCCGAAGAAGGCAGAGGTCTGCATCTTGCGTACAAGGGCAAGCCTGATATGAAGCCAAGACTGTCAGCTCCACCCTGAGACTCTGCCCCATCCAAACTGAGCACAGAGGCTTTTGCAATTTTACAAGTCTGACCCTATAAGACTGTCTCCAATACAGAAAGTATCCTGGAGTAGATACAGCTGATACTCATATCCAATTGGCCTGGAGGTCAATTCCTCCCAGTGATAGCAACAACAATCAAGACTTAACTACAGTAAGGCTGTACACCAGTCCACAAAGGGGAGCATCAAGTCAAGAGTGTCTACCTCAACGTGGCCGCAGCGGACAGGGTCCCGGGGCCTCCTGCTGCTGGCCACCGGCCTCTGGGTGCAGGTCCCTGGCCCTGTCGTGAGTGAGAACCGGCTGACGCTGCAGGACACCCCTCCGCCCGGACTCCCACGTGCTCATGTCACGCCCGCGCACGCACAGGACGCAGCCCCGCTGGCCCAGCGCGCCGCCCTGCCCCCAGTGAGGGCCCTCCTGGCGGAGGGGAGGAGGACGCCCATCCTGCGGCTGAAGCCCAAGCCCAGGGCGGTGACGTTCGGGGACGTGGCCATCTACTTCTCCCCCGAGGAGTGGGCGCAGCTGAGCCCCCCGCAGAGAGCGCTGTACAGGGACATCATGCTGGAGACCTACCAGACGCTGGCCTCGCTGGGCCTGACCGGCCGGAAGCCAGACGTGATCGCCCTGTTGGAGAAAGGGAGAGCACCCTGGACGGTGGGAAGGCACCAAGGCCTGGGTGAGTGACAGCTGCTCTGGGACGGGTGCAAGCACACCCCCTGGTGGGAGGGCTCGGGCAGGCCCACACTCAGAGCCCCTCCCTCGCCCCTGGCCCAGGCCTGGGTGAGTGACAGCAGCTCTGGGATGGGTGCAAGCACACCCCCTGGTGGGAGGGCTCGGGCAGGCCAACCCTCAGAGCCCCTCCCCCACCCTGGCCCAGGCCGTGCTGGGCTCCGGCCTCTCCAGCGTGACGTCCCCAGGAGGGAGCAGGGCTCCACTGCACAGGTCCTTCCTGGGTGCGGGCATGTCCAGTGCAGGCGCTCCGGGCAGTGCTGAGGCCGGGGCTGAGAACCCGGACCCACGGGGAGAACCCCAGCTTCCGTCTCAGAAGCCCGGGTCTTAGCAGCCTTGTCCGCACCCGTCACTCTCCCCGCCTCAGCATTCGCCCCGCCCCCAGAGAAAGCGTATTCCCACCGCTTTAAGAACAGCTCTGCAGCATAAAGTTCCCGCTGCATTTCCTCCAGTCCTCCCAGCACTTCCTGTCTTCCCACACCGCTCACTGACTGCTGTGAGGGAACTCGCTCCCTTGCCGAGTGGATTCCTCTCTGGTTGGCCGAGCTGTGTGTGGGTCTTTACACGTGTGTGAGGCTTTTTGGTTGTGGTAAAAAGTGTCCTCCGATGTGACCAAGAGCTGACACGCTCATGGTCCTCCCGCCGTGACTGCGATCACCAGGGGGCTTCCAGGACGCCAGGCGAGCTCGGGGGCGCGGGGCCGCGTGCCCGCCATGGAGGGGGTCCGCGCAGCAGGACACGTGCGAGGAGCGGCGAGCCTCGAACGCCGAGAGAATGCGATGCTGGCGACAGAGCGCACCTGAACAGCTGCGCGCCTCTAATGCTGAGAGAATGCCCTACTGGCGACAGAGCGCACCCGAGCAGCCGCGCGCCTCCAACGCCGAACGGAGGCGCTGCTGGCGGCAGAGCCTGTCCACGGAGCAGCTGCTGGTTCAGCGAAGGTCTGCCGCCGAAAGGAGCCGGCGCTACCTGCAGATGTCCCAGGAGCAGCGGGCTGCCGACACGGAGAGAAGATGGCGCTGGCGACAGAGCCTAACCTGAGAGAAGCTCTTGGCACAACGCCCGTCTGAGGCCGAAAGGAGGCGGCGTTACCGCCAGAAGATGTCCCAGGAGCAGCGGGCTGCGGAGGTGGAGAAACGGCGGCTCCGTAGGCACTGGGCCTCGCGGGGCGGGGAGCTGCTGGCGCAGTGAGGCTCCGTAAAGATGAAGCTGCACGTGCAGCTGTTTCTCGAAAAAATGGGCAGACTGAGAAATAAATGAAGAAGTTCCGTGTCTACTCATGGGATTTTCACACGTATCTGAGTGATGTTTCCATTGACTCGGCAGAGGATGCTGGAAGGAAAATATTCCCATTGAATTCCTTAATAGTATCACTCCAGGAATGCCGTGTCATAAATTAAAATTGAAAAGTGGGTACAGTCATCATGCTGCTGACAAATCTTAATAATAAATAGTTTTTTTTCAATGGTCCTCGAGGCATTAGTCACAAGATTGTGACCTGACATAACTGAATCAGAAGTATGAACAGGATCTGCAGAGGGAGAGATTGCTCTGATGCCAAGACTGGATTTGTGCCCATCAGACACTGGCCTCCCGTTTAAATTGGTTCGAAGACAGTTTCCCGTGATGCCAGCGTGTGGGATGACTATTTATAAATCACAAGGACAAACTAGACAAAGTGGGAATATTCCTACCTGAACATGTTTTCAGACATGCTCAGTTACATGTTGCTTTCTCTTTTAAGTTCAAGCAGGATGTGATGATAAAGATGTAAATATTTCATCACGAGGGAAATTAGTCAGACATTCTGAAAGTGTTTTCACTCTTAACGTGGTGATATACAGGGAGATACTAGAATAAGTTTAATTTATCAGTTATTGTTTGTGTCAGGGTTATTTTAATACATTTTTTGTTGTTTTTAGATCATGATTTTGTTATTTTTATATTATGCCTTATGTTTAATAAATGTTGAATGGAGAAGAGACCACCCAAGAGGCAGAGACCCCTACCCGGGAAATAACTCCAACTAGCCAATTGCGAAATCTAATTACAAATTTTATTGCAGATTTGAATCTGGGCTGCCGCCGTGGCAATGGCGCGGCCAGAAGCAGCAGCAGCGGTTACAAAGCAGTCTCTCTCTTTTTAAGCATTCTTCAAACAAGCACATTCCAAACAAGGGGGTGGGGGTGGGGGGTCTTAACCTTGTGATTGCATGCATCAGCCAGATGGCCTAATCTCCCTCCTTGGTTTGTTCTGCTATCTTAGCCTTGACTATCCCAGACTGCTGATTTGGCCTTCAGCCTTGACTAACCCAGACTGTTGATTTGGTCTTCAGGTCCAGGAGGGGGAGGGAGTAGCAACTTTCCACCCTCCAGGCAAGGTCAGTAACCTTCCACTCCTCAATAAATTTATATATTATTTTCATATAAAAAAAAAGAGTGTCTACCTCAGGTAACTGGGGAGGCTCACCCACCGTGCCATATAGGACATCAAACACACAAAGCCATCCTATCAACTCTGGGAAACAGCGAAAATGCCGAGCAAGGACACAGATCACAAATGAAAGAAATGCAGGACAAAAAGAGACTGGATATAGAGTTCAAAACCACAGTTATAAGGTTTTTCAAGCATTTCCTGGAAAAGGCTGATAAAATAAACGAGACCTTTGAGGGTATAAAAAGGGATTAACTAGAAATAAAGAATACACTGTCTGAAATAATATATATATATATATATATATATATATATATATATATATTATATATATATATATATATATATATATATATATATATATATATATATATAATATAGAGTCCTAAAAACAGACTGTAAGATCGCAAGAATTAAGTCAAAGATTTGGAACACAAAGAGCGTGAGGACACTCCTCCGCAGAAGCAAGAAGAGAAGAGAATCCAGAAAGTTGAAGATAGTATAAGAAGCCTCTGGGACAACTTCAAGCATACAAAGATCCCAGAAGAAGAGAGAGAGCAAGATACTGAAAACCTATTGGAAGAAATAGTGACAGAAAACTTCCCTCATCTGGTGAAAGAAATAGATTTACAAGTCTAGGAAGTGCACAGAATCCCAAACAAAAGGAATCCAAAGAGGACCACACCAAGACACATCATAATTAAAATTCCAAGAGCAAAAGACAAGATAGAATATTAAAAGCAGGAAGAGAAAAGCAGTTAGTTACCTATAAAGGATCCCCCATACGATTGTCAGCTGATTTCTCAACAGAAACTATGCAGGCAAGAAGGGAGTGGCAAAAAATATTCAAAGTGATGAATAGCAAGAACCTACAACCAAGATTAATGTATCCAGCAAAGTTATCATTCAGAATTGAAGGGCAGATAAAGAGCTTTACAGATAAGAGAAAGCTAAAGGAGTTCATCACCACCAAACCAGTATTATATGAAATGTTGAAAGGTATTCTTTTTTATATATATATATATATATTTTATTGATTTTTTTTGCCCCCCTCCCTCCCTCCCATACATACCCTCCCTCCCCAGAGTTTTCTGTCCATTGGTTGTACTTATATGCATGTACACAAGTCCTTCGGTTGATCTATTATCTCTCCCAGATCTTCCTCCCCTCCCCACTGTAATTTGACAGTCTGCCTGTTGCTTTACTGTCTCTATATCTGTCTCTTGGTTCATCAATTTATAATGTTATTTATCATCCACAAATGAGTGAGGTCATGTGGTGTTTCTCTTTCATTGATTGGCTTATTTTACTCAGCATGATGTTCTCCAATTCCATCCAGGTTGCTGCAAATGATGAGAATTCCTTCTTTTTATGGCAGCATAGTATTCCATTGTGTAGATGTACCATGGTTTTTGGATCCAATCATCTGCTGACGGGCACCTAGGCTGTTTCCAAATTCTGGCTATTGTAGATTGTGCTGCTATGAACATAGGGGTGCATATATCCTTTCTGATTGGTGTTTCTAGTTTCTTGGGATATATTCCTAGGAGTGGGATTACTGGGTCAAATGGGAGTTCCATTTTCAGTTTTTTGAGGAAACTCCACACTGTTCTCCACAGTGGTTGCACCAGTCTGCATTCCCACCAGCAGTGCACGAGGGTTCCTTTTTCTCCGCAACCTCGCCAACACTTGTCGTTTGTTGATTTGTTGATGTTGGCCATTCTGACAGGAGTGAGATGGTACCGCATTGTTGTTTAGATTTGCACCTCTCGGACAATTAGTGACTTTCAGCATGTTTTCATGTGCCTTTTGGCCTTCTTTCTGTCTTCTTTTGAAAAGATTCTATTTAGGTCCATTGCCCATTTTTTAATTGGATCATTCATCTTCCTTTTATTTAGTTGTATAAGCTGTCTGTAAATGTTGGAGATTAAACCTTTATCAGTGGTATTATTTGCAAATATGTTCTCCCACACTGTGGGCTTTCTTGTTGATTGTTGATGGTTTCTTTTGCCGTAAAAAAGCTTTTTATTTTGATGTAGTCCCATTTGTTTATTTTCTCTTTAGCTTCCATTGCCTTAGGGGCAGTATCAGTGAGGAAGTTCTTTGGGCATACGTCTGAGATTTTGCTGCCTGTGGATGCTTCTAGTATTTTTATTGTTTCCCATCTGATGATTAAGTCCTGTATCCATTTTGAGTTTATTTTTGTGTATGGTGTAAGTTGGTGATCTAGTTTCATTCTTTTGCATGTGTCTGTCCAATTTTCCCAACACCATTTATTGAAGAAACTGTCTTGACTCCATTGTATTTTCGTGCCTCCTTTGTCAAATATTAATTGAGCATATTGATTTGGGTTGATATCTGGGTTCTCGATTCTATTCCATTGATCTATATGTCTGTTCTTGTGCCAGTACCAGGCTGTTTTGAGAACAGTGGCCTTGTAATATAATTTGAAGTCTGGTATTGAGATCCCTCCTACTTTACTCTTCTTTCTCAGGATTGCTGTGGCTATTCGGGGTCTTTTATTGTTTCAAATGAACTTTTGGAGAGTTCTTTCTAGGTAAGTGAAATATGCCATTGGTATTTTAATGGGGAGTGCATTGAACCTATAGATTGCTTTAGGAAGTATGGACATTTTGATGATGTTGATTCTACCAATCATTGAACGTGGTATGTTCTTCCATCTCCTAACATCTTCCTCTGTCTCTCTTTTCAGTGTCGTGTAGTTTTCCGCAAATAGGTCCTTTACTTCCTTAGTTAAATTTATTCCTAGGTATCTTAATTTTTTTGGTACGATGGTAAATGGAATTGCTTTTTTAGCCTCTGTTTCTGTAGTTTCACTGTTGGTGTATAGCACATGTGTCAAACACAAGGCCCGCAGGCCAAATCCATCCCGCCAGGCCTTGCAATGTGGTCCGCACTGCGCTGTCATCACTGCACTCCACTGTGTTTCCATCACAATGACAGTTTATGACTGTTCAGTAAACCATTCGGCACGCGATTTAGGCTGGATTTTAGATTTTGGCCCCTTCTCTGATTGAGTTCGACACCCCTAGTGTATAGGATTGCCATGGATTTCTTGGCATTAATTTTGTATCCTGCTAAATTGCCAAATTCATTTATTAAGTCAATTAGTTTTTTAATGGAGTCTTTTGGGTTTTTTATGTACAATATCATGTCATCTGCAAATAAGGATAACTTTACTTCTTCTTTTCCAATTTGGATGCCTTTTATTTCCTCCTCTTGTCTAATTGCAATGACTAGTACTTCCAGAACTATGTCAAACAGGAGTGGCGAGAGTGGGCATCCCTGTCTTGTTCCTGTTCGTAGAGGGAATGGTTTTAGTTTTTGCCCATTGAGTATAATGTTGGCTGTTGGTTTATCATAGATAGCTTTTATTATGTTGAGGTATGATCCTTGTACTCCCACCTTGTTAAGAGTTTTTATCAGGAAAGGGTGTTGGATTTTATCAAATGCTTTTTCTGCATCAATTGATATGACTATATGATTTTTATCTTTCAATTTGTTTATGTGATGTATCATGTTTATTCATTTGCGGATCTTGTACCATCCTTGCATTCCTGGAACAAATCCTACTTGGTCATGTTGTA